AGCATTAAATAAGCCATGGTGGGAGTATTCATGCCACAGAAATTGGCAAATGCTGCAAATCCAAGGGCCTTTCACCCACCCAGAGAGCTGGTTGCTAAACATTTACCATCGAACCACTGAATGGATCCTCAATATCTTCAAATCCAGGAAACTGTAACACTTTCTAAGAGTTGGTGTCAACTAGGTTAAAATCAAAATGGGAACAAAGATGTCAAAGAAACAGAGCCATACATCTTTTTGAAAAAGGTCCCGGGCAAATCTTATCCTGCACACACCTGAGAACCCTACGCTGTGCTTTCATGCACTGGCACAAGGTCTCAAAATACAGAAATGTGATGGGGTTCCACTTCCCTAAATTCATACAGCAAAAGCTGTACAGACTCAGGGGAGACAACATGGCTTTTGGCTTGCTCTGGGACTTCAGCTCACCTGACTTTCCATCTTCTCTTTCAGGGCCTGGAGTTCCTGTGACTGCTGGAGTCGCTCCTCCAGCTCCTCATCCCGCAGAGACCCGAGGTTGGACTCCATCACAGTGTGGGGCCGCAGTGCCCGCAGTTTCTAAAATGATAAGGGCATAGTTTTATTCCGATAAAGATATAATTGTGACGTTATCTCATATACCTGAACAGTATCAGAAGGGCACATCTTACCCCAATCATTAACCCCCAAGTCATCCTCACTAGATACCTACACCACAAACATTCACACAAATCAGTATGCCCCTTAACAAGGGCTCTCTTGAGGGCTCAGGAGAAAAGCAAGTTCCATGGAAACACAGTGCAATTTCGATTTCACTTAAATTTTGTGCTTTACCAAGCTTGGCAGACTGCTGGTGCATTTCTTCCTCGGTCTAGAATTACCTGAAGAGAACCAGACTCTGAGAGCCTGAGAGGATCTCAAACAACGCCGGCCACTTTCTGCGGACTCCAGCCCTTCTCCCCACAAAAATTCCTGGGTGTCACCAGAAGGGCCAAGTTTGCACAGCTTAGAGCTAGTCACTAATACCTGCAGTATTCCTGAGCTAGCAAGTATGTGACCAGAAGGAAAAGGCAAGGAAAACTGAATCAAAGAGAGGATGCCTTCCACCCATCTATGGCTATTTTGTAAAATATATCACAGTTACAGCATCAAAAGTAACATACTTTCATCTGGATTACTGTATAAAACTCATAAGCCCTATAACAGCTTTAAGGTACTGCAAGTTTAACTTGGTGTCTTTCTTGCTAACTCTTTCCAACTATGGCTTAAACAATACTGGGCTCAAACGTCAACCATCTCTAAACTCCTTGAATATTTGCGGAGAGCCGAATGCTTTATCACATGTATACACAACTCTGGGTTTCTGAGGTATCACTTCTGATCTCCACACTGCTGCTGATGACACACCGTAGAACTGACTCTCTTAGCGTTACAAATCTTCCTGGCATTTTCCTTTCAGTTAGAGACTTCTCTGGTATCTCAATTTACCCAATATCTAATCTAAAGTTCTCTCTTTGGTCAGGTAATTTAGCAAAAGCAAGCTCTCAGACTTCTGTACCAG